CATCCAAGCCCCAAGTCATTGACGCATCTCCACCGGTCGCTGCCTACCTCCACTCCCCCCTCCTCTCTTGCTTTATTCCCGCCGGCGGGGTGGGAGGAGCGTGTCGGGAAAAAGGGGATGCTTGTCAGAGCGTGGGCCCCGCAGACCGCGATCCTGGCTCATCCGGCCGTGGGGGCGTTCCTGACGCACTGTGGGTCGAGCTCGCTGCTGGAGGCGGCCGTGGCCGGCACGCCGATGCTGACGTGGCCGCTGCCCGCTGGTGTTCGACCAGTTCATCAAGGAGAGGCTGGTCACAGACGTTCTCAATATCGGCGAGAAGGTGTGGGGTGGGGCGCGGAGCACGAAGGAGGAGGGGAAGGAGATGGTGCCGGCCGAGGCGGTGGCGAGGTTCTTGGAACCAGATGGAACGGGGGAGACGGCGAGGTGCCGAGCGCAGGAGCTCGCAGTGAAGGCTCGCGCGGCCGTGTTGGAAGGCGGGTCGTCGTCCTGTGATCTGCGCAGGCTTATCGACGACCTGATGGAAACAAGGGAGGCCGTCGCCGACGATCGGCGACACTACTACGTCACGCGCTGCTGAGATCTAGCGTCATCGTGGTATTTCCTAGTTCTTCAATCCGTTTGTAAACCCTGTAACACCGGCCGCCTAATCTGTTCTGTATTTCCCTTTGCCTACTATCCCTATGGTGTTCATCATCTCAGGGTTTTGCTGGCACTGGATCCAGCGGGAGGAGATCCCTGATGCATTTGATTCTTGTGGGATTCCCACACATCTTGCAGGATCAACAGGTTATCGGCACCTTCTTGGTCCCTCTGCACCCGTGACCCAGGTCAGCTCAATCGCCTTTCTTCATAGCTGATTACTCTGTTGGATGTGGAGGTCTTCCCATGTTCCATCAGATGGCTTGCCTGGATGATGCATCCACGTTTTAATGTGCTTTATGTGGTATTGGCTGTGAGACAAAGTTCGAGGTTGATCTGATCTATAATTCAGTGTGAGTTCATTCATAGATTTGGGCTTTCTGAATGTGGATGCTTTTTCTTCTTCTGTTCGGATGTGGAATTCTGTAGACCTGATCATGCCATGAGTGACCATTGGACGATGTCTCCATGTTTTACTGCGTTTTATGTGGTGTTTGCTTTGAGATAAGGGTTGATGTCAATCTGATGTGTACCTATTCTTTGTTAATACAATCATAGGTTTGGTTCCTCTGGTGGTGGAGGATTTTTTTGTTCTATTCGGATGTGGGTTTCCGTAGACATGATCACACGATAATGCCATGAGTGACTATGGATCACTACCAAGAAGAGGCTCTAATCTTCCCTTCTGTTCTTCACTAATCTTTTCTTCTCTAATTAGCTTCACTGATATGTTGCTTTGCTGTAAGTTTATGTCTACTTAATTATAAATCTTAAGCAAAGTGAAATATGGTGGTTAAGGAGTAGTGTTTGACTGTATGTACTTCTTTCCCTTATTGTATGACCTGTGAGTGAGGTCAAGCAGCAAGAACTGGGCAGTTACTTAGCGTACCATGTCCCAATTTCCCTAATTTATCTGGGTCTTTTTAACATATTCTCCAAGTGGTGATTAATGTGCACAAAAAATCTACATTCAAATACTTTCTTTTTCAGCATACGTCTGCCAAAAGAAAATGGTTCAACAACATTTTAAATGTACCATTTGAATTTGTAGTCAATTAAAGAAGTAAAAAGAGGATTTTGTTAGTTTTGCTTTACACAGGGAAATGTCGAGAAGCATACTGTCCTATTTTTAGAGTCAGTGAATAAATAGAGTACTTGTCCACAAAAAAAAAAGAATACATAGGACTCTGTTATATTCTTAATCATATTCTGTCTTTTCTCAGGAGCACGACGCAAATCGAAAGACTTTTCTGTACCAGGCCAAACCAACTACTTGCATATTGAAGAAACTTCCATGCTGTTTTACATGAAAGTTGCAGTCTTTCATTTTTATCATACAAAGCGCACTGATTGGTTCTCACGGAATAGCGATGCCTTTCAGTTGTTCTTGTCAGTACATCCGAGTAAGGATAACTACACACTTCGAAATTTGTCAGTACATCCAATTTCATCTTGCTGGTCGCTTTGGTAATAACTAAAAACTTCTAAATTTGTCATCTTTTTGGTCTGCATAGCTGATTTTCCCTGAGGATTGTAGTAACGTTTAAACAAGTATTTACACTTCTAAACAAGTATGGAAAAAGGCGACTTGCTTGAACTGTATCAGCCATAAACCTCCCTTAAATATGTACATGTCTAAAAAACCTTTAGGTCTGCCTCCTTGTAGAAATACACAAGTATATTTGTAACACTTAGATGCTTGCCTATGTAAGCTTGCATCACAGACCAGCAAGGAGGAGGACGAAGCCCGGGTTCAGCCCTGTTGGAGTTGGCATCTGCTCACAGCAAGCTGCAGATGATGTCCGTATTTTGTTTCTTTTCTCCTGTAGCAAACACAAGCAGGTGCTGAGATAAGGCTGAATTATATTCAGATTCGTAGCTGCTTGGTAGTATATTTTAGCACTAAGTTTCTTTCAAATTCTGGGCATAATATGTGCGGAATTTCAATGTACTCCTAAAACAACAGTTGTAGCTCTTGTTCTTATGTTTCCATTGGTGCTGGTTTCACTGAAATTTGATTGGTAGTTTAGGAGTTAAGCCAGAAAAGGTGCTACTGTTTAGTAATAGCGAGTCTGTGAGAAGATCTATTTACCTATGTTCAAGCAAGTTAGGGACAGTTTTAGTCCCAATCACCTTAAATAAAGTTGTAGGGAATTCTCTGTACGTATCTTAGAATAGTTTATTTGCTGAGATCGGTTAAGCGGTTTAAAAGCTATGAACAGAACAATGCGTGACCTAGTAACTCAGTCGAAGTTTCAGCTAAACTTAGAACTGGTTATTTATGTTTTTTGCTTCAGGGAAATATTAATGTATTCATGAAATAGATATTTAACCTTTTTTGTATGTGAGTTGATATAACTTTTATGTTTTAGTAGGCGATAGCAAGGCAGTCAGACAATCTTAATTTGGGGAAATAAGATAAATAAATGAAAAGACAGGTTACCTGACGATACAATTGAAAGAGAAAGGGATATTGATATTTTGTCGATGATGTGAACTGCAAAAGGATGCTCTTGGTGGCAGCATCCTGGGCTTCTGAAACATGCTCAGTTCAGCTGAAAGGATGTATTGCGATTATGCAGAGAGATGGAATTGTTTGAACTCCAGTGCCACCAATCGACGGCATACGAAGACACTGCCACAAGAGGTACCTTCTGTTTGTTCGTTTGTACTGCCTTGTTGGTCTCAAACTGTATGGTATTGGTTCTTTAGGAATCTCTTGAATCACCTGATAATGGATCAAAATAAGAACTCCCCACTAGAACACTGCTAGGTAGCTAACCTTTAAAATGTATGATGCAGCCAAGATATTATATTTGTTTGTCATTCTTATGTGGTTATTAATACCTGACTGTCGCAAATGCAATACCTAAAGTTCCTGGATAAAGAGAAACAACACGAGTATTGTTTGGTCTGTCATAGGTTGATAGCCACACTAGCAAGGTAGTAATTGTTCTTGGCAATCATGAGCCTAACCACACAGTTCATTTTTAATATAGCTGATACAAAATGGTACACACACTAGGGGTGAAAATGCAGGTCACTTGCTTGTCATGAACACCAGAACATAAGCAGGCTGAAGGAAAAAAGCATACATTCGTGGTCATCTGTTGTTCCCAGAGAAAGAATCTTTTGTAGCGTTTAGACTCCTATGTACTATAGCTTTCCATTCATTAGCAGGCCCCAGGAAGCATTCCTAATAATGACCACCTATTTAATTATTTTGCAGGATCAACATATCTAAACAGTCTTATTTATAAATATGTATTTGGATTTATCATTGACGTTTGACAACTTGGTGCAGCATCGGTGCTTCCAGGATGAAGAATGAATGCATGTCATTCAGGGATAACTGTGGGCAATGAAATGTTGAAGGGTCCGTCTCTCACCCCACTCCATATAGACGCTTAGTTCTTCATGGCCATTGTCTCTAATGTTTTTGTTTGTAATATAGTTTGGCTTGGAAATATAAAACTCCATGCCGCCTGTCACACAATTTTTCGTCGTCCGGGCAAACCCCTTCTCCATTAATTTCTTGATGTATGGTTGTGATGCAGTCTTCTAGACGAAGATGGATTTAGGCTGTGTGATTCCACAGTATGCATTGCACTTCCTTTAAGCATGAATATCTGAATGTGCACGGTGTATATTGCTCAGTCATGTTATTTTTTCTGTTTATATTTTCAGGATACATAAAGTACATGTATTGCATTAGAATATAACTTCTACTTCTGTACTATTATTTTCAGGATTTAAATGACCTTCGTTTTGTGTACGAGGTGGTTACCTGAGATTTTATTTGATTACTCTATTAGATCGTGAGCAAATTAAGACATATATATGTTGATCTTGCAGTCGATAGCATTTCCTGTCATATTGTTGATTCTCTTACAGATCCACCACCTCAGATGGTGCTGACAAGGGTGCAAAGCAATCTTCCTTGGATCTTTGGTACCGGGTTTTAAGGAGAACATTTGGCCTCATGAAGCCCTCACTGTGGTCATTGCAGCTGTGGCTAAGGAGGATACCCGTCAGCGCCAGCTCACTGCTTGCATATGTAATCAATCTATATTTCCAACCTTTTTGTTTATGGTAAGTAGAACAACGCCTAGAAAGAATGAAAGGCCGTTTCTAATTACCTTTGCTGCATCTAACCTAACTGCCATGCCTATGTGACCACTAAAGCAAATACCATTGTTTCCTCTGCAGCGTAGTCTAGATTTAGTTTTAGTGATTTCTCAACCATTTTGTTCTTGCTGCATCTAACCTAACTGCCATGCTTTAGACTATGGTAATCTATGTGTTACGCATCCTTTTGTCGTCGCGTATATTAAATGTAATCAAGGACTTCCTAATATTGATGTATCCCCTCAGTTGTATTGGTACTGCTACATATTTGTCATGACACTACCAATTATATATAGCAAATTCAAAGGTGTCTATATGATGCATCTCTACCTATGTGCCTTGCTTGTTAAAAACAATGTAAATAAGCTACAAGATAACTAAAGAAGCATGCAACATGTGGAAGAAGTGCGTGCTGTATCAAACAAAATCCATGGCCTTGCTGGCATTAGCCTCGGACCCTGCTGCCTCAATGTCTGTTTCTAATCTGAAGCAGGCTATCATGGAGATTCATGATGCAGTGGTCGCACTTCAAAACACTACAGCCACAACATCTTAGTTCCTAGAGGAAAAAGGCATGTACTCAAATGATGAAGTGCCTGATCCATTCTACAGTGAGCATTCTCATGAAGATTCAGCTGATGATTGTCATCAAGACATGGACGACGACTACGGTCACTATGTCCGATCCCCATGAGCATCATATTCAGCCTGCTGAGCTGTCTGATTGCCATGTGAAGTTGTATATGTATAGCTTCACCATTACGACTTGGTTCTGTGGCTGTTGTGTTTAGTCTCCTATGTTGGCTGTATAACATGCGAAGCTCCCTGTTTATAGCTTCGCCTTACAATTCTTTTTCATTTTTGAACTGCGCTATGGTCATGTATAAGTATGAAATCCATGTTGATGTGTTGAGACAATGTTATTTATCTATGTTGCATTTTTGCTTTTGCCCACTGTGGTTCTTCCTTTCAGTACCTTTGCTATGAACATACATTCATTTACTTTACTCTTCCAAGACTAAATCAGTGAACACAAGATGTATGTCTGCCTATCTACCTTCCTTCCTAATAGCATGTAAATAATCTATCATAAGCTTCTTAGAACACTATGTATCATGAATAATCCATGTCTTCCAATCTATCTCTAAATATATTTATGTTTACTCTTTCAATACTTGCATTGCTCTTGGCCTTTGCGCCATTGGCGCAACGGGTCATCTAGTATTAAAGAAAACATCAACATGTCGATCTTGCTAGTGTAGAACCGCCTTCACTGTAAGGCCTTCTTAAATAAAAATCCCATAAGTTTAGCATTTTGGTATGACATGCTAGTGTTTTTTCTCGGTCGCGTGAGAAAATAGCGGAACTAGCTGTTAGATTGTATTGTCTCCGATGCATTCATGGCCTTATTCTTTGGTGATCGAAATGTATGGGATGGTTCATTAGGCCATGTTCAATGGGGAGGTTCTTGAGTAGACGCTTGATGATGGGGAACAAATCAAGCACCTACAGTAGCACCGCACCCTCCAATGCGAAGAGCTATTTCATAGGTGCTTATACAACCAAAATTACAGTAATAAAGCACCTAAGCGATTGGAGCAAAGTACAGTGTTGGATGCTAGTTTCTGATTGGAAGTAAACCCCGCGCTAGCAAAACTACTGGGATTGTTTTCCTTAGCTCCCACTTAATCGCCTTCATTGGAGATGGCCTTAGGGCATGTTCAATGGAGTAGGTCATTGTCTTGTAAAGTAGGTCTTTCCCTGGCTCCCACTTAATCGCATCCGTCTAGGCATATAAGTCAAGGTGGATATATATTAGCCCCTGCAATCCTTGGTAGCCTCGCAGCCGTCGCTGTACTTGTTGGCCTGATCCTCCGTGTGTGTCAGCCCGTTGCGCCCGCCCACCTCGTCAGCTTGCAAAGCGCCGTAGGTGAGCGTGTCGGCGGCGTTCGCGCCCTGCTGCGCCAGCAGCAGCACCGCCACCAACGCCGAAACCAGCAGCACCTGGCTCGCCGTCGACGACGCCTCCTTTGTGTGGTACGCCATTATCGCTTGTGGTAGTTTATTTACTGTCTTATCGCCTATGGTTGTCTTATCGCCTATGTAATTTTGTGGAACATTGATCTGCCTAAACTTGATCGGCTGCACGGCGATTCAGCTCAGCAAAATGCTACACGCCCTCCGTCTATTCTTAGCGCCCGGCCATTCAACCACTGTGGTGTTGCGTGGGGTATTACGTGAACCAGACGTGTCTATACCAGTCGGGAGGTGATGATGAAACGAACGACGAATGCACCATGTGATTAAGTATTTGGAACTGTCGTCCTCACTACGTCTTCTTTGTCTCGATCTATGATGTAGACGCCGCTATGTGGTCTACGGATCTGATTGTAATTTTTATTATTTCTCATGTTCGTTGTACTGCTATAATTGAAAATGAACATATTATATGTTTTCTTGCAGAAAATATTGTACGTGCGACTGTAACGCCTCAATGTCTAAGTCGATTGAAATCCCTTGTATCGAAACACGTGACTGAGTATCATCGGTTGATATATTTTGAACCAAGTTGGACCCACGTGTTTTAATGTTTGCAAGGGTGCAGTGGACGGTTGAGGTTATTAATAGAGTTTTACTATCTGTTAGAATACAAACTTCTAATAGGATTAGGACTCCTACTCGATTTGTAATAGGGTTAGATGTGGTACGGCTTGACTCTTATATATACCTCTTGTATCGACATAATATTGCATCAACAATTATTCAATATAATTCTATATGGTATTAGACTTACGATACTAGGGTATGGTATTAGTTTAGGTCTTTGATCGATGACTTCCGTCTCTGCTCCGATCGGGACCATTGTATCTGGTGCAGCCGCCATCGGACCGATCGTCGCTGAATCCATCTCCTCTGCCTCGCTACATGCAACGCCATGCATGCCCCAGCATGGCTACGGGCTGCATGCTGCTGCACTGTTCCAGATGGCTGGCTTTACCCCGCCGTCAGCGCATGGCTACGGGCCACACGTCTACGGCGCCATGCAACACGGCGCGTCGCCCGCAGGAGCAGCAGCCAGACACTACTCTGCGTCATCTACAGGGCACTACGCGACCTCACCTGTGACTTCGTCCAGTACGTCGTCCGCGGCTCTCTGCAACACACCTGCGGCGTCGTACAATACACCGGCGATCTACGGCGGGTACCAGCCGGCTCCTCCGATCGCACCGTACTACGATGCTCCTGCTCCGCCCCCGGCTTCATCAACTGCACCAGTTCCGCCGCCTGGATGGCACCCATCTCCTGATCCATGGACATGGTTAGTCCAAGCGTGGCCTATGCCCTGTTCCGCCCCTACGCCATATGGTGCGTGGCTGGCAGCCCGGTATCACGCTGCTCCCTCCTCCGCGCCACCGATCTACAACACCAGTCCTTATGCATTCTATGTCGCTCCATCGTCCCCTACATACAACAGTACAATGATGGTATCTCTCTCTTTACACCGATGCCGGCCCTACTGCCGACGCCACCACACCCGCAAGCTCCCATGACTACACCGGCCTCTACTTCGACTCCGAGTTGGGACCAAACTGCTTTTCTACAAGCCATGAACAACTTTTTTCTTGCACACCTTCGTCTTTTCCC